GCCGTGTTGCTCAATGATGTTGTGGCAAATGGGCAGACCCAATCCTGTCCCTTCGCTCTTGGTGGTGAAGAACGGATCGAGCACGTTGCGTAGAACCTCCTCGGGAATGCCCGGCCCGTCATCGATGATTCGAATCTGCGCCCAACTTTGTGAAGGGCGGGATCGATCGGGCTCGATTTGGCAATCGACGATGATCGAGCCACCTTCGGGCATGGCCTGCAACGCGTTCAGGATGAGGTTGAGGAAGACCTGACGCAGTTGGTTGGGGTCGGCTTCGACCATGATCGGCTCGGAGCTTTGGGCGGAGATCTTGGCGTTTTGTTTTCGTGCGCGATGATCGAGGAAGCGGACGGTCTGCTCGGTGAGGTCCGCCAAATCCACCGGCAAGCGTTGGAGGTTGCCGGTTCGCGCCAAGTTCAAAAGACCGCTGATGATGTGATCAATGCGATCTACCTCGCCGATAAGATCCTCGAAGAGCTCGCGGTGAGATCCTTCGACCGTGGTGCCGAGGTATTGCATGGTGGAGCGGATTGCGGTGAGTGGGTTGCGCACCTCGTGGGCCACACCAGCGGCCAGCTGACCCATGGCCGCAAGGCGATCTGCGCGGTGCAAACGCACGAGCCTTTCCTGTTGCTCGCGGTAGAGGGCGGCGTTCTGGAACGCTAGGCTGGCCTGCTCCGCGAGTTGTAGGAGCAGGGCCGCGTCACTCTTGCGGATCATCGACGACGAGCGATCGAAACCCAACAAAACCAAACCGATCAGCTGGTTTTTGGCCATCATCGGCGCACATAGCTGGCAGCCCGTCTTTTCGAGCCACGTTTTTTCCTCGGGTGTCAAATACTCCACCACGTCTTGCTGATGGTGCAGGCTCAAATAGGTCTCGTTGACTCTCAACCAGCGAGCTAATCGGCCGTCGGCGGCGAGCGGGGCAGAGCCGTCGGAAGAATCGCCCTCAGCCTCGTCGACGGGTAGGGCGGGGGAGGAGAAGGTAATGCGGAAGTGATCTCCTCTCGGATTGAGCTCACAGATCAAGATGCGGTCCGGATCGAAGAGCTCTTT